CGGCTGGGCAGCCCCCGGTGGGCACCGGGGTCCCCCCCCTCGGCCCCCCCTCCCTCCTAGCGGCACCGTCTGCCACGGCACCCACGCGTGTCCAGGGTGGGGGGAACCGGGGCTGTAGTGGGGGGGGGAGAGCCGAGCCCCCCAGCCCCGGGCACAACGTGGGGCAGGAGGAGCACCTGGGGAGTCGGTATCCCAGTGTCCCCCCCGCCGTGGTCCTGATGTCCCCAGGGCCAGCTCGCACAGGCACACACGTGTGTGCTCACATGCACACACGTGTGTGCTCATACACAAACACACACCGATCCTCACACACACAGGGGCACGCTCCCCTGTGCACGCTCACACGCGTGCACCCGCGTGCCCACGCATGTGCCGGTGCGTCTTGCACACGCGTGTGCCCTGAGTGCCCGCAGCTCCCACCGAGCAGCCGGATCTGGCGCGGCCGTTGCTGCAGCAACACGCTCCGCTGCAGGGCCCGATCAATGGCGGGAGCAGCGCCGGGACCGGCTGCTGCCGGTGACGCGGGCGGGATGCAGCCCGGCAGCCCCAGCAGGGCCCACATCCTGCCTGGAGCTCCACTGAAGTTGGGATTGGGCCTGGGGACCCACACTGTGCGTAGGATCTGGTGCAAGCAGCTCCAACTAGGTCTGGATCCAAGCTCTGGACTCCCTGCTTGCTGTAGGATCCCACCTGGAGCTCCAACATAGCCCAGATCTGGCCTGGGGACACCCAGCATGGCCAGGATCTAGCGCAGGGATCGGGGGCCTGGATCCGGCTTCTGGAGTCCCAGGATACCTGGGATCCATTCCAAGGATCTCCAGCAAGGTCTGGATTCAACCTCCAAGCACCCATCATAGCCAGGATCTGGCCTTGGGGAGTCACAGCTTGACCAGCACCCAGGCTGGGGACCTGCAATGTGGCCACAGTCCAGCCTTAGGGCCCTCAGCGTGGCCACAATCCAGTCCAGGGAGGCCCAGCGTGGCTGGGATTTGGGCTGGGGACCTCCAGCATGGCACGGATGTGGCCTGGAGACCTCCAGCATGCCCAGGATCTGGCCAGGAGAGGGTGGGAGGCAGTGGGGGCCCGGCCGTGGCGGCTGCGCCAGGCACCCAGTGCCTCAGTTTCCCTTGGGGCCGCGGGAGCCGCGCCGGGAGCCGCCTCCTGGTTAATGTGTGCCCGGCGCTGGGGCTCGGCCGTTCCCTGCCGTAATCATTAATCCGGGCAGCTCCAGGGCTGATAACGTGGGGAGCGGGGCCGGCACGGCTGGGCTCCTCCACGGCTGCGTGGGAGCCCTGCGGGGACAGTGACGCCCTGCGGGTCCCACTCGGTGCTCCCGGTGTCCCCAGAAACCCCAGAGCCACCTGAGCCCCATTGTGCCCAACTGGGAATTGGGGATTCGGGCAAAGGGGGAGCACTGGGTGCCCAGGCAGCTCCTGGCACCCGCTAGGCCCTGGGGCACCTGCTGCACCCTTGGCCCCCCCCCGGGCCAGCAGGGACTTCCCACACTGGGGCCGAGGCTGCCGTCGCTGGTAATTAATGATTAATCACTTCCCTGAGGACGTGGCCTGCATTCCTGCTGCCAGCCGCGCCACAAGGGCCCCGGACGCCTGGGCCCTGTGGGTGCTGCCAGGCCGGTGCTGGGGGCTGCCTGGGGTGCCCCAGGCGCTGGGGGTATCCCAGGGGGTTGCGGGTGGCCCTGGGGTGCGGGATCCCCCGCGCTGGGTTTGCATGGGCGGTGCAAAGGGAGTGCGCAAGGGAGCGTGCGAGGGGTGCGCGCTGCCTCTGTGCGTGCATGTCCTGCTGGCAGGAGCGCATGTGCACGCGTGTGCATACGTGTGAGCATGTGCATCCTCTGCAGCCCACGCTCACATGCGTGTTAAGGCATGTGCAAAGATGCCTGCGTGTGCCTGGGGGCTGTGCGTGCCCACAGCCCCCCTGCATCCCCATATTCCCGTGCACAAGCACGTGTCACACAAGCGGCCCTGGGCACCGGCTGGGGGGTGCAAAGGGGGTACGGGCACTCTGGGGGTGCGGGGCGCAAAAGGGGTATGGGCACCGGCCCTGTGCGGTGTCTGCAGGTGTTGGCGTGCAAGGGGAACCTGCACGGGGTTTGTGTGCGTGCAAGGAGGTGCAGGGTGTGTGGGGTGAGGGGGTGCAGGGCCCCCCTGCACGTGCGTGTGCAAGGGGGTGTGCAAGGCGGTGTGTGTCCCCCTCCTGCCACGCTGTGCCTGCTCACGGGGCGACTGTGTGTGTGTGTGCGACTGTGCGTGCGGCTGTGCGTGCGGCTGTGTGTATGAGTGTGCGCGTGTGTGAGTGCGCGTGTGCACACGCGGTGCGCAGTGTCCAGCGGCGCCCGTGCCCGCC